ATCTTATTTTTACCTTTTAGTTCCATTCAAATTGTTCTCCCTGTGACTTCGGGAGCTTCGTATCGGGAGCTCCGCTTTTAGGCAGTGCCTAAATATATATATTAGATGGAGCCATAAGCTGGAATCCTCCTTCAATGAAATTYACATAGTTGTATACAAGCAGTGTGACCAATGTCCTGTAAGACCTACCAATAGATACATTGTATATTCTGTGAATCTTTCCAATGACCTCTCCCTCCCCATCCAAACAACTTATCACAACAGCAAATTCTTTTTCTTCGTAAAGCAAACTCTCAAAACCATGACTGAAGTAAATGCACTTCGACAAGTAAATGCAGTTCTGCTGACATTATTTTCATCAACATCACAGGCCTCAGCAGTTTYATGGCAGTCTTTTTCATTTAAATGAAATATTTCATTCCTCCAACGGTAATACCGGAGATGGCTTGCTGTAAACCTTGATCTGCTGATCTTTTGTCTTTTTTTTCTTTTTTTCTTTTACTTATTTTATTTACTTATTTGTCACTCTATTTACAATTCAGATGGGAACTAATTATTATAAATTGCAGCTTTTATCCTATGACTATTAAGATAAATTTGAATTTTTTTCTTATAGTTTGTAGAATTTTACTTTTCTACAATTGTGCTTCAACCTGAGTTGCAAAAATACTTTAAATTATATAATACACAAAATACAGGAAAAAAAATAACATAAACTATAAAAAAGTGAAATTAGAAAAAACACAATACATCATGACTTAGTCCGATGAACTTAATAACGATGATTGAATTAATGCATTTCTTATTTTTTCCCATATTTTACAATGGAAATTAGTTTTATCCTTGCTTGTGGACACTTTTCTTTCAATTAATTCATAGTATTTTATCAAGTTTTTGAACTGTTCTAATGTTGGTGGTTTTTGTTAACGTTTTTCTCTTTTTATATCGTCGACTCCTAATATTACATCCTTTTTATTTGAATTCGGTAATGAAATACCATAGTTTTCGAGCCAAGTTCAAATACCAAAGTAGTAATTCTTTGCTTCAATGCATTCTATAAAAAATTATCTATTTTTTCTGGACTTACGTGACAGAGAGAACAAGAGGAGTGCTCACTTATTTGAAAACGATGGAGATCACGATTTAAATAAAGAATATTGTTGAGAATCTTATATTGGAACATTCTGAGATAAAAGTTAATTGTGGTTGTATATATCCTGCTATAAATTTTTTTCCAGTTGAGTTGCTCGTCTATGTTAGCCATTCTTTTTTCTATGTTTATTTGAGATGTAGGAGTTTTTAATTTTGTTTAGACAATGCAGTCATGTATTTGTTTTGTTGTAATTTTTTCAATTYCCACTAATCTTTGACCGAATAAAAACCGATTGCAATCCTTGTTATTTTGTTCTCTTTAAGTCCTATGRAACTTTATAATTGTCTTTCATTTATTTGGTATGGCATGTACTATTCCAGCCCATCTAARGTAGTCCTTATCTTGTATGCCTTTATTTCATGCAAATGTCCATTCAAAGTTTCCGCCGCTGTTACACAAGTCTCCAATTTTATTTATATCATTTATTGAGAAGTTATTATAAAAGACTTACTTGTGGTCAATTAAGTTGGGTAAGTGACCACGGTATATGTTTAGGGAATCGCATGGTTTCGAGCGCACTTTGGAATAMATTTCCACGAGCGGGTTTTCAAAAGGTTCAAAATTGCACGAGCCCGAGAGRGCGAGTGCTATTTGAGCTTTTTATAAACCCGTGAGTGCAAATTTATTCCAAAGTGCACGAGAATTCCATGCGATTTCTTGTTAATAATATAGATGCAAAAATTTCGAACCACAATTAGATAGAAAAAAGACGTGTTGAAAAAATTGCACAAAGCGAAGAACTCGTTTGTTTTTGTCAAAAATCGGTTTACAAAACAATATTTTATTTACAAAACAGGAAAGAAATATGAATAACGAAGATTACTTTTGATCTTTAAAAAGTAAAAACAGGTTTTTTTAGAAATCATTTTTTTCATCTTCAAGACTTCAAATATTTGACATTTTTTGACAAAACAAGTAAGCATATTTCTGCAAATTCTGCAAAACTTACATAAATCATCAAATATCCTCTTTTTTCAATTCCTAAACACTCAAAGGAAAGTTGAATAAGCTGCTTTCTTTGTACAGAAGTATTATGTACCTCTTTACGGATAAAGTAGGCGAAAGTTCTTGAAGTTTAAACATCGAGTTTCAACGTCTCTCGCTTCAACTTTCGCGTCAAGTGACCTTGAACAGCTGTAAAATGGCCCAACTGATGTTTTCTTACCTTCTTAATTCTCAAATAATAAGCAGCAAGTCCTCCTTTTGCCATTCTCATCTCAACATTTTTTGCTGGTTTTCAACTGATGAAGCTTGACTTTTTTAGCATTTTTGAATTCATTTTTAAGATGAAAATCCGCCATCTTGAATTTTCTCAGAACTTCCAGAGAGGGAAGGCTGTTCTGTYGCTATGACAACTGATGTGATCTGATTGGCTAGTTTGAATTTCTTTTGTCTTTTCAACCAATCACTGAAAAGTGTTTCACATTTTTGCACTGGTGTTTCAGGAAAACAACACTGCTCTCAACCAATCAGAAGTGAAAWTTTTTTGCATCTATATTATTACTTATTATACACCCCTTCCGAGAAACTTTGTCACCCGTGAAGCGTAAAGCGTATGAACTAGTGGCGCGGAGGTTCATGGGAAATGCGTTCAAATAAACCATGCATGACGCAGAAGCTTTCTTGGCACTGGAAACTTGCTTGACGCGGGAGTTTGTTTGACGCGGGATTTTTAAAAGAGCCATTATGGCCGACGCAGTACGCATTAACGTAATGCTTAAAGTGTATAAGCACGAGAACAAAAATCAATGTTCCATGTTCTCTTTGAAAGAAATACCAATATTCAAAAATGTCCAAGAGTTTAAAAGCTATTTAGTGAAAAAACACGCTGAAGAAATAAGCCCAGCAAAGGACATCAGCAGTTTTGACCTTGGTTATTATGGCACGAGAGGAAGAAAACTGACCATTTGTACAGAGGAACACCTAAGTGAGGCCTATTTAACTGAAAGCCTAAACTATGTCACATTTTGGTTGAAGCCACATACGCATTTCGAAAAAACAAGTTTGCCAAAGAAACGAGAGACTGTGGACGAGGACGAAGTCATGTGTCTTGATTTCAAGGCGTCAAAAAACAAGAAGAAGAGTAAGTTACTGAGCACTAAAACGTGATACAATYCAAAATGGATAAATACCTTTATGCTAGCTGTCTGTCTGTATTTTTCCTTTTGTAAAGCTTAAAATTGGACTGTGCTAATTTTGTTAGTAAGGTTTTAAATTTTAGAATCGTTTGTGCATGGCGTACGTGAATATTCGAAGGGAACCCGATAAAAACGAATAATTCATAAAATGCCACTTCTTTTCTAACAAGTTCGTTATGATCTGACCTATGTTACGGGTTTTAATAAAATGTTCCATTGCTATGTTTACAGTATTCAGTATCAGTCGGTGTATTCTGAATTTAATGTTTGTCTTTAAATTTGTAGAAAATGATTCCGTCGAAGAAGACAAGGGCCTTTTCAATAACTATTTGTCGAGGCTACGTGAAACACATGGCTCAGTTCTTAGCGATTTTAAACTGAAATGTTGGGCTAGAATGTTGGTAAGTTAGACTGGATCGATAAATTGTAGAGCAGTTTTCATAATGTAAGATAAAAAGTTAGTTTTTCTTATCCACTACACAATAAAATGTGTGGTAGTTTGCAGCGATCTTTCAATCGCGCATGTAAACGACTCTGGTAATTTTGGAAATTTGGGGGTTTCTTCCTTATTAATACTGCAATAAAAGTCGCTGCAAAAAGCGGAGACTAATCCTCTACACGGGATCAACAATGGTTTGGGTTATTACTGCTTTTCGAACCTAAGCAAAACATTGACGATTGTGATAATGGTTTTTATAGGTAAATGGGAGTCACCGCGACGACACCGTACCTCCGAATGCTGCTTTTTTTGCACTAGAGTCTACAGGTGCAGTTCCTTCTACATCCAATAGGACTCCCATTGTGACCACGACTTCAACTAGTAGTTCTACCTCACTTCAGTCGGCCAGAACACAAGTGGATTCTGCCATTGAATCAAATGAAACAAAGGTGTGAAGTCCTCTTGAAATTGCGTTTGGAAAGAAAGTTATTTRACACATAACATGGTTAAAAAATTAAGCAGTGGAATTCTGTTTGCTCTGTAGAAGCTCGAGGGATGATTCTTCAACAGCTTGTGGAGTTGAAGAACCTTAAAGATGCCAATGTACTTACCAATGATGAGTTTGAGGAACAGAAGAAGAAGATGTTAGAAGATCTCAAGAAACTTTAATTATTATTTGACAATAATGTAAAATGTTTTATGGTTGTTTTGTTTGTTACTGAGTATCATTTACATGCTTATTTGTCATTTGCAAATAAGTACACGGAGGGCTTTACAAGCAATCTGTAAATCTTAGATAGTTTCTAATGTCTGCATCAGAGATTTGCATGAAGGCTTCAAACACCATTTCCTCTGGATCATCACGACACACTTGCCACACAACATCATTTCCTCGAATCCAACTCTTTGCTTGAGAGAAAACGTTCTCACATGGATTGAAGTCAGGACTGTAAGATGGCAAGAATACCACAASAGCGCCACTAGCAATTATAGCTTGAACTACACGACGACAGCGGAGCATTTTAGCATTATCTGTAAATATAATGCAATTGTCTTCATTAGATTAGTGCGTTGCAATAAAATACTAACAAAATCTGATGTGATGTGAATGCTAACCCATTACGATCTCAGAGCGAGGATTAATCCCATCAAACGGCTGTAGATTAGGAATAAGGTTTTCATTCACAAATTCAAGAAATTTCTCTTCATTGGTATTCCCGCGGCGGATACTCAAGTCTATTATTCTTTCCGTGCAGATGACAGGGATAGCAGTAATCCTGGGACCCCAATTGCCATACCATCTTTGTGTTTGAGCTCGATAGCCTCGAAAACTGTATCCAAAGCGTCTCGAAATTCGTTTATCCTGTAATGCAGAAACATTTGTTATAACCCCAGTACGGAGATCAGTTAAAAAGGTATAACAAAATGAGTTTCTGAAAAGAGAAGGCACACTCGTCAAGGAACACAAACATCGCAGGATTGAATTGTGATACCACAGACCAATAGTTTATTCGATCTTCTTTGCATCTTTGATAAGGAATTCTTTTGAGCTATAAACACCGAAAGTGAAATGTGTTGAATGAAAAATTGCAGCAATTTTCGAATACAACATTCATGATTACAGATTTCTCATCGGMTTACAAGAATGCATTTAACACTTAATATTACCATTTTGCGTGTGATGCCATTTCTTCTAAAATAGTCGTGTAAAGTAGAAACAGAAAGCCTGGCACCGCATACTCCTTCMACGTGTCTACAGAGCTCAGATAGAGTTTTTTCTGGGTGTCCTAACAATTCTTGCATCAAAACGGCTTGTTCTTGTTGCGATAGCGAACACGAACCAGCAGGTCWTCCTGGTTTGTCAGCACAAACATTTCGTCTCTCGTAATATCGTCGGGCGAAGCGTAACACGGACCTTAAAGACATGCCAAGACGAACAGCAATGTCACCTTTACTGTGGTTTAAGCCATATAGCAGTACGCTTCTCATCCGTAAATCGTCACTTAATGCTCGCGGCATGATTGCTTTGACCCATGTGTTGGTGTGCACGTGGTCAAATATAAACTATCCCATGACTCCCCGCGCCACTAGTTTATACGCTTTTCGCTTCACGGGTGACAAAGTTTCTCGGAAGGGGTATATAAGTACTGAGATTTACATGTTCGCAAGCTATTTGATAAAAATCATATCACAAAAACGGGAAGCGATCCTATTTGCTATACGTTTTTCTTCACTAGTGAAGAACAACASTAGTGAGAAAAATSGTATCGAGTTKTCCCGCGATTTTTGCAGAAAGTGTCAGCTTGCGTTAGAATGTTTGTTGTCAAAAGTTCTCAAACATGGAAGGTTGTTGCTCAAGATTTGCTCAAATCGACTCAATCGCCGAGTTTATTGATAGCCAGGAAAACGAAAACACTAGAAAAAAGACACAGAACGATGTGACACTCCTAGTGCTATAGAACAGATTCCTGCGAAAGAACTCGTCCTCGGTGTCCGTAAGAAAGAAGAAATAACCAGCCAACGAAAACTACGAACCAAGCTCTCTACGGGCTTTTATAGCTAGTTTTGAGCGATATCTAAAGAAGAAAAATTATTGAGTGAACATCATCAAAGACGCTGACTTTGAACAGACACGAAAAGCTTTGCAATCAAAGCAACGAGAACTCAAACAGATAAAGGAAAAGGAAGTATTTTATTTTTCGTGTGTTAGTCATTAGGTTATTTTTTGATTGGCTTTCACTTTAATATTGAACAAGTACACAATTCCGATCTAAGTATACTTATATTTACAAGTCTATCACACTATTAGAAAGAGACATTTCTGTTTCAGTTCGAAGCAATTGTTCGAGGTTCAATAAATTTTTTTCCCAACTCCAAGTTCAAAAAATCTTTACTTGTAATATCTCAGTACTTCTAAAATAAATAAATAACATCATGGTTAGTTCGCTTGTACGGTTTTTATTCACGAGTTGTGAACGTTTGATTCTTCACAACTCGTGAATAAAAACCGTACAAGCGAACTAACCATGAAGTAATCTCTATATAAATAATCGAGTTACCTATGAACTAAAATATATTTGTTGTTCCAAATGGGCTGGTTGAGCACTGTTTGTATTGTATCTATAGAGTTGGTGCTCACGAATTCTGCCCATRTTAAAAGATTTTGTAGAAAAAAATCGGGAATGTTTTTTTTAATTCTTTGTGGGTTCTCACTGGGCACCGTTCTGTATTTGTTGCGTACATCCTGGGATTAACATATCTTTCAGGCACTGAATCCTTCGCTTCGGTTCGAGTCTTGCTTCCTTTTTCAGTTCACCAAATGACATACTCTCTTGCATCTTCTTTTTGTATTTTTAGGTCACCTTGTTCAAGTTTGCGGTGTTCGTCTCTCGCTCGCCATCCGAAATGTAAAGTGTTATTGAACCACACGGTCCTCAGAAGAGAAAGAGGAGAATGGCAACCAAGCTGACATTCGCTCCAAAGCTTCTCAATCTCCTTTGCAGATAATCCAAGAGCTTTATTTGGGCGGYTACCTCTTCCGGATCGACGCAGTTCTTTCCGTTTGGATTCCAAACTCTCTCTCGACTTCTGGAATTCCTTGTCTGTGAGGATACTGTATAATTTGCCRTTTTACAGTACATTTTACTGTTAAAGTATATGGCTCATAGTCAATGCTATCTGATTTTCTGACTTTTATGAAAAAATGCGACAGAAGTTGATCCAGCTCTTCTACTGGCACTTCAAGAATGTCTCGAGAGTCTTTGGCAACGTCGAGACGCCATGTCTGGAAAATCTTGAGGTCAGACGCCGTCTTTTTCACTGTGTTTTTGTTTTTGTTTTCTTGTATAAATTTATCTATCTCGCCAGCATCCAATTTTGTTGGATGCTGTTGTGGTTGTGGTTCTGTGTTCTCGTTAATTTTTATATCAAGTGTGAAATTTGGAAGGTCTTCGTCCGAAAAATCTATGTCGCATACCAGGTTTTTAAAAACGTCGTCGTCCATTTTTTCCCCAGCAAAACAAACTAGCTCGCTCGCGTATGTGTAYGCGGTAGCACTAAACTGGTTAAAACCAGTTTGAAAACCGTGTAATACGGAATTCCAAACCGTGTAATACGGTCTCATATTTGCACTCGTTTTGGCCTTTATTTGCACTGAAAAGCGCGCGTTCGTATAATAAAAACAAATATGGGGAGACGGGATCTCCTTGTTTTGTACCCCGTTCTACTGGAAAGAAATTGGTTGCTGTACCGTTATTTATAATGCAACTCATAATGCCTCGAAGAAGTAGTTTTATCCACTTTATAAAAATAYCTCCAAAATTAAAATGTTTTAGTACTGCAAAGATGGAATTCTGCTCTATGGAGTCAAAAGCCTTTTCGAAATCCGCTGCAAAGAGAGGCAGAGATTTATCATACAGTTCTATTTGATCCATAATACTTTGTATTACCAATAATGGCTCTTCAATCGTTCTCCCTCTAACAAACTTATATGCGGAAGAATCTTACTTATTCGATTACTCATAACCCTACTGTATATTTTGATATCAACATTTAGTGATATTAAGAACTTGTGTTAATATAGGTTAATGTTAAACTGCGAGGGAACTACGTCATCGTCATTTGATCAGATATCAGTACACGTTYGTAATCGTTATAGTAGGTTCCCTTAAAATCGTCTCTTCGCGTACTCTGAGAATGGTAAAATCGAAACGAAGAACAACTCCCACAGCAAACGCCACATGTCTACCTACGATGGATCTTCCTGATGACCCTTCTACCAGCTCTGACCAAGAGCAAACGAGTATCTCAACAACAATATTTGAGGCCGTTCGTGCCATCGGATCACAACTACATCAGCTCCAGTTGGATCAGGAGGATTTAAAAAATCGCGTCGATGGTCCACTCGACCAGCAGGAACAGCCGCCACAAGTTGTTGCTTCGGCCGCCCCCACTCCTCATGCGGTTGGTCCACCTGACACAACTTTTGGTGAGTACGTCGACTTTGTCATGCTATTGGCGACTAGCTCACCACACAACACCGTTCCCTCGTTCAGCGCGGGGTGGAGTAAGCCCAAACCCCGTGTTATCGATTGCTTCGATACATGGTTGAGCGCTTGGAATCTTTATGAAATGGATATTGTTTCCTCCAACCCCACAAGATACCGGGGAATGGCACTGTATCGCGCTCAAATCCAAGATGCCAGTTGCAAATTCCGCTGGAACTGTGTGTATCTCTACGTCTGCACACATCGTATGAATTTGGCGTCTCATCGAGGTCTTACTACCACGTTGGATACCCTCGATACTACTCTTTATTTTATACATACTGAGATTTTCTTATCAAATTTCCCTGTGTGAAAAACAAGTTCATGACTTTTTTAGCCAATCAGAAAAGCGAAACGATTTGTCACACGTGAAAAAAGCGTTTCGTACAATCGCAAAACACTGTCGAAGCGAATCGTGTTTTCGCGGTCATCGCGGGTAGCTTTGTGGAGCAGCTTTCAAATACTTTCAGTGTATTGTAGTT